CCCAGGGCCTCGTGGATCCTCCTGGAGCCTCCTGCTTCCTGGGATTCCCCGCCGGCTTACTGACACTTCCTACGGCTTCCTGAAGCCTCCTGGAATTACCTGGGGTTTCCTGGGCCCTCCTGAAGTTTCCTCGGGTTTCCTCGGGGTCGCTGGGGTTTCTCCTGAGGCCGCCTGGGGCCCCCTGAAGCTTCCCGGGGCCTCCTAGGCTCGTGCCAACATGCCAGCGCAGTCTTTGAGACGCGCCAGGGATTTCCTATCGGTAACCGCCATCGCGGCTGCATCAGCTGTGGCAAACCACCTTGTCGATCTGATTTCGGTCCGCAGTTGCGCCAGCACTGTTTCTTATGCTGTGGAAGGGCGGGTGGGAATGGGCATACCATTCTTGACTCGGTCGAGCTGGCTAGCTTGACTCCTATCCTTCTTCCCTATGAGAATATACGATTACTCCCCCCTTCCAGCCGGCCGATAAGGGTTCCATCTGAGCCATCCCATCCGAATGGTAAAACATCAACATAAAGTCGTCGTTGTTTCTCTCGACGTGGCCTTTCTTGTCGTCGACGATGCGGCATGCGTAGCCGGAGTAGGACGCGGCGCACATCGCGCGCGGCCGTCAATCTGGGCCCTCCCATCCTAACTGTTAAACATCAATACAACGTCGTCGTTGTTTCTCTCAGCATGGCCATTTTTGTCGTCGACGATGCGAAATGCGTACCAAGAATGGGACGCGGCGCACATCGCGTGCGGACGTCTGGGGCAAACCCAAGCAGGAAGGGCCATCCAACCTGTCAGAAATCATACAAAGTCGACATGGTGTTTCTCAGTTGTCGTTGGCTTTGCGAAATGCGTGGCAGGAAGGGGGCGCGGTGCACATCGCGCGCGACAGGGCGAAATGTCGCTCTCGCTTCAGCGCCGCGCGCATGTTTTCTGAAAGTTGCGCTCACGCTTAAGCGCGGCGCAGAAATTTCGTTCGCCAGTTCGTCGAGCGCCTAGGGCCCCCTGGGGCCTCCTAGGGTCTCCTGGGACATCCTGGGGCTTCCCCAGGGCCTCGTGGAGCCTCCTGCTTCCTGGGATTCCCCGCCGGCTTCCTGACACTTCCTGCGACTTCCTGAAGCCTCCTGGAATTACCTGGGGCTTCCTGGGCCCTCCTGAAGTTTCCTGGGGCTTCCTCGGGGTCGCTGGGCTTCTCCTGAGGCCGCCTGGAGCCTTCTGAGGCTTCCCGGGGCCTCCTAGGCTGGGCCTCCTAGGCTCGTGCCGACATGCCAGCGCAGTCTTTGAGACGCGCCAGGGATTTCTGATCGGTAACCGCCATCGCGGCTGCATCAGCTGTGGCAAACCACCTTGCCGATCTGATTTCGGTCCCCAGTTGCGCCAGCACGGTTTCTTATGTTGCGGGAGGGCGGGTGGGACCGGGCATGCCATTCTGGATTCGCTGAAGCTGGCTAGTTTGACTCTTACTCTTACTCTGACGATGTATCATACTATTACTCTTACTCTTACTATTACTCTTACTCGTACTCTTACTCTTACTCACACTACTACTACTACTACTACTACTACTACTACTACTACTACTACTACTACTACTACTACTACGATAACTACTACTACTACTACTACTACTACTACTACTACTACTACTACTACTACTACTACTACTACTACTACTACTGTTGCTACTACTACTACTACTACTACTACGACGACGACGACGACGACTACTACTACTACGACTACTATACTACTACTACTACTACTA